AGTCCCAGCTACTTGGGAGGCTGAGGAAAGAGAATCACTTAAGCTCAAGAGTCTGAGGTTGCTGTGAGCTGTGACACGAGAGCACTCTACCAGGGACGACAAAGCAAGACTCTGTCTTAAAAATAAATAAAATAAAATAATCATTTTTAAGGCTGGGTGCAGTGGCTCATGTCTAAAATCCTAGCATTCTGGGAGGCCAAGGTGGGTAGACTGCTTGAGCTCACAGGTTTGAGACCAGCCTGAGCCAGAGCAAGACCCTATCTCTAAAAACAGCCGGGCCTTGTGGTAGGCACCTATAGTCCCAGCTACTTGGGAGGCTGAGCCAAGAGAATCACTTGAGCCCAAGAATTTGAGGTTGCTGTGAGCTGTGACACCACCACGGCACTCCTAAGGGCAACAAAGTGAGACTCTGTCTCAAAAAAAAAAAAAAAAATCATTTTAAAAATGATTTTCTGAGGTGGCGCCTGTGGCTCAAAGGAGTAGGGTGCCAGTGGTAGGTTCAAACCCAGCCTTGGCCACAAACTGCAAAAAAAAACAAAAATGATGGGCAGCGCCTGTGGCTGAAAGGGGTAGGTAGGATGCCAGCCCCATATAGCTGAGGTAGAGGATTCAAACCCAGCCCTGGCCAAAAAAAAAAAAAAAAAGGAAAAGGTTTAAAAATAAGAAATAGTCTGCATTTACACTATACTCACTGTCCACAAAGGTGCATCGTGGCTCTGCAGGATAATCTTTGAAAACATAGTATGCCAGTTACCCAGTAATCTAAAGAATTACATTTTCAAAATTTTCTGAATCAGTAGCAGGCCCAGGAGTTTATGATTCTAATGTTGTCCTGGTGGATTAGCCATTTTCTCCACACAAATCAAAGTGTATTTCCAAGGACATTACGTATCTTCACACATTGACATTAGCTTCCTGTGTTTTTATTTATTATTTTATTATTATTACATATGTATATTTTTTAAGACAGAATTTCACTTTGTCACTCTCGGTTGAGTGCCATAGCGTCACAGTTCACAGCAACCTCCAACTCCTGGGCTTAGGCAATTCTCTTGCTTCAGCCTCCCGAGTAGCTGGGACTACAGGTGCCCGCCACAACGCCTGGCTATCTTTTTCTTTGTTGCAGTTTGGCCAGGGCCAGGTTCAAACCTGCCACCAGTGGGTATGGTGCTGGTATATATGGCCAGCACCATACCCACCGAGCCACACTGAGCCACAAGCGCCGCCCTCTTTGTGTTTTAAATTAAACTCACAACCCTAAGAGCAAAAATCTGGTTATTCCAAATAGACAAGAAAAAATATTTTCCGTGTAAATGTTTAAAATAAACTTAAAAGGGTCAAGGCTGGGTGCAATGGCTCACACCTAGAATCCCAGTGTTTTGGAAGGCAGAGGAAAAAGACTGGGTAACAAAATAAGACTTTGTCTCAAAAAAGAAAAAAAGTCAAAGCTCTGTCTAATTGAGGTTTATTCCTAATATTCACCTGCCACTGTTCTATGAGTTGCCAAATTAAAAATATACTTGGCCCTATTCGTTCCTCAAACATCAAATAATTTCAACTTACAACTTTCTTTAAGCTTGACTTCTAGCAAGGTTCCTTAATGCTGCTTTCATCTGGGAAACTGTTTCCGTCTTTGGATTTAATGCCTAAACAATTACTTTAACTTTGTTTTGTAAAATTATGATCTAATTATTTTTCAAGTATACTTGGGTTAACAAAATGCAGCAGTGGGGTGTGCCTTTTAGCAGCTGAACAGACCACTTTTTACATTCCTTAGAAATAAGATATGGTTCAGTATTTCAGATCATAGCAACAGTTGATAATAAAAACAGCAAAAAGGTAATTATTTCCATATGGAAAGAAAAGGAAGAAACCAGGGAAACTGTGAACTGTCATCTTTCCATATAAAAATCACTCCTGGTAGATCTGGCTGAAAGGACACATGTTCCTATTTATTTCCCATTTTACATTTAATACACTGCACGTGATGTGTTTTATGGAAATACACCATTTCCCTCAAAGTTAGTTGCCAATTTTGAAGTGTGTTTTATCCTTCTGAGTGAAACCACATCTCTAGTGCGTGCGTCAATGTCATCAAGCACTGAATTTCCTTGGTGGTAGTTTTCTCAACTTAGTGAAAAATTTGGGTAAGTTCTTACCCCTTTTATTGCAAAGCACACAGCCATCATCTATGCTAGCTAAACACCGATAAACAATTTATTTATTTATTTTAAGACAGTCTCCCCCTGTCACCCTGGGTAGAGTGCGGTGGCCTCATAGCTCACAGTAACGTTCAACTCTTTCTGCTCAAGCATTCCTCTTGCTTCAACCTCCTGAGTAGTTGGGACCACAATACCTGGCTAGTTGGTTTTTGTTCTTGATTTTTTTCCAGGCTGGTCTGGAAGTCCTGAGCTCAAGCAATCCACCTGCCTTGGCTTCCCAGAGTAAGGATTATAGGTGTCAGATACTGCACCCAGCCTAGCAATTTCTTTTAAAAAAGAAACAAGGGTCTCACTGTTTCCCAGGCTTGTCTTGAACTCTTAGGCTTAAGGGATCCTCCTGCCTCAGGTTCTGAGTCACTGGGATAATAGGTGCATGCCACTGCACCTGGCCCCTAAGAGCAATTATAATGCAATGGTTCAATAAAATCAATTTCCTCTCTGGCATTCCAAGGTCCAAAACAAAATATGACCCAATTTTCTCATACTCAGAGTTTTAGAAAAGCAAAACACGTATTTACTGATTTTTTATTTATGCATAAGCATTTATCATAATCCTGACATTTATTTTTAAATAGTTGCTAAGAATGGAAACCCTGTTGTTAACACATTTAAAATAAATGTTCACACTGTAACATTTGACAACATCCCCCTCTTGTGGTTCACAGCATTCCTACAGAGTTACAATTTCTTAGCTTAAAAAACTCTGCTAGGCTGAGTGGTGCCTGTGGCTCAGAGTAGGGTGCCAGCCCCATATACCAGAGCAGGTGGGTTCAAACCCGGCCCCGGCCAAAAAAAAAAAAA